TAGTAGTAGTAGTAGTAGTAGTAGTAGTAGTAGTAGTAGTAGTAGTAGTAGTAGTAGTAGTAGTAGTAGTAGTAGTTCATGTCGAGTCGCAAGGTACCGGATGGTCAAAACGACCGTCACGCAAGCGCCCGAACGCATTCTCTTCTTTTGTTTCGAATGTGGAGGGTGTCTCACGGGGGCCAGCCCAGGGACGGTCTTGTGGGGGCCGTGCTTGGGAGCGCGCGCTGGCCACGGAGCTCAGGAGCAGCTCCGAGGGGTGACCACCCGCGCTACAGGGCCAACCGCAGGTGCTGGACGCTCCAGGTGGCCACCGCGCCCTCGCGCGAAGAGCTCGTTCGTCTCGCGGCGCTCCATCGGGACCGGGGGCAGGCCAGAAACCGAATCGTCTGCGGGGCCGCGGAGGCAGAGCCCGCCCGCGGCAACAGTGCCGGCGGGCGCACCCTCCCGCGCCGCCCGCCCACTCGAGACCACACTCCGTCTTGCTTCGGGCTTCGTCGGGAGGGCGAAGGCTGGGCTGCTGCGCTTGGGGCGCGCCGGCGCGAGGAGGGAATTCCTCCTCGCAGTCGGATGCAGAATCCGTGGATTCAAGCTCTGAAGAGGGAACCTCTTGAGGCATCGTTTGTTTTCTCACCGTTGACGGCCCCGCCGAGGCGCATTCGTATCCCCCCCCCTCCTTCTCCTCCTCCTCCTCCTCCTCCACCTCCTCCTCCTCCCGTCTCTCCCTTCTCTCCCTCCCTTTTCTTCTCCTCCTCTTCGTCCTCACCCTTCGCCACCATCCTCTCATCTTCACCCTCCCAATCCTCGTCCTCGTCCTTCCCCTCCATCCTTCCCCATCCTTCTCCCTCCTCTTTCTCCTTCTTCTCCTGTCCCCCCTCCTCCTCCTCCTCCTCCTCCTCCTCCTCCTCCTCCTCCTCCTCCTCCCCTCCCTTCCTGGGGCGTTCCCCCTACCGAACCAGAGTAGGAGAAAGACGAAGAGGAATGGGCGGAGGAGGACGGGGAGGAGGAGGGCGAAGACGACGAGAACGACGAGGACGGCGAGGACGCCGAGGGCGGCGAGGACAAGTGCGACCACGGCGACGACCACGACGACGACCACGGGGACGACCACGGCGACGACCACGGCGACGATCTCAGCGACGGCCGCCAGCGACGACCACGGCGACGATCTCGGCGACGGCCGCCGGCGACGACAAGCCGCCTGCCCGGCGCCCGAGGGCTGTGAGCCGGCGGCCGGTGGGGTGGCCGCGAGCGGCGGGACGGCCTCGGGTGCCCCCAGCGCCCCTGCCGGGCGGTGGCGCTTGCCGCCGCTCGCCGACGTCGCCGCCGCCGTCGTCGCCGCCATCGTCGTCGTCGTCGTCGTCGTCGTCGCCGTCGTCGTCGTCGTCGTCGCCGTCGCCGTCGCCGTCGCCGTCGCCGTCGCCGTCGTCGTCGTCGTCGTCGTCGTCGTCGTCGTCGTCGTCGTCGTCGTCGTCGTCGTCGTCGTCGTCGTCGTCGTCGTCGTCGTCGTCGTCCTGCGGATTCCGCTTTCGTCGCGCGCCACCATGGGAGGGGTCCCCGTGGGCACAGGTCTCGCACACGTCTCCGACCGACACGATGTGCCCCCTCTCCAGTGCCGCTGCGCGCCAGCTCAGCGAGGCCCAGCGGCTAGACTTTCAGGCGCCGCGAACAGAAGCCGCGACGGGCGTGTTTCTTGACGGCCTCGGCCTCCCGGGGGCAGCCGCTCGGGGCCCTGCGCCTTCCAAAAGCGACCTGCAGCGGAGAAGCAGCCCCGGGGATGGGGTCGAGGGGCTCCAGGGGCCCACGTCGTGAAATGCAGGACCGCGTCTGAGGCCTGGAGGAGCGCGAGGGCGCTGGAGTCCGCCCAGAGGCGGGGCCTTGACGGCTGGAGCGGGCGGGCTGAAGCAGCCTAGGTGCGATTGGGGACGTGGATGGTCTGTGCTACGTCGTCGAAGTCGATGGTGATCAGTGCTGGATGGCCGGTGCTGGGTCGGGTGGTGAGTGCGGGTCGGGTGGTTGGTTGACACAGCTGGTGAGGTCAGCGAGTGGACTTTTGTAAGCAGATCGGCGTCAGGAAGTTCATTCGGATACAACCAACCTCTCGATCTACAGGGCCTCAAAGCGAGGGACGAAGCACTTTCCTTCCCAAGTGAGACTGAGATCTCCTGTTATGCCCCAGAGGAAACCCTTTCGAACATGGACCTCCTCCGGAAACAAACGTGTTCCTGATTTCGACGCGCCACTCAAGAAAGCCAGATTGCAACGACTGGAGGTCGGCTTGTCAATAGAAGGGTCAAACGAGACGTGCTGAGGTGCGGTCAACCTGTCCGATGTGACAACAAGCCGCGGGGGTCCAGCGGGGAGCTCCGAGTAGACGACGAAGAGGAGGAACAACAGGAAGGAGGGAGGATGAGTTTGAAGGAACATGAAGGAAGGGGAGGAGGTCGAGCAGGAAGATGGGGAAGAGGAATAACGGAGATGGACGGCGATAATGGCAATGCGGAAGCTTGGGAAAAGGGGGAGGAGGAGAAGGAGGAGGAGGAGGACGAGGAGGAGGATGAGTAAGTACACACAATGTGCTAATGCGGGAGGTGAGAGGTGGAAGTGGAGGACGAAGATGATGAAGCCAATCAGGAAATGAAAAACGATGCAGAGAAGAATCGGGGGATTCAGTTGGAAGCATCCATCGTGACGCGTGTCCGAACAACAAAGCTAAATGAAGAATCTGTCGTCCGCGTGCTGTGGGGCAAGGTAATCCGCCGTATTCGTCGCATCCGCGTGGAATGTGGCACAATGAAGTGATGGGCCGCGCCAGTGCATTCGACTTAGCACAAATATCGCCCAGCCAGACCGTCCGTCCCTCTAACAAACTTCACACTGCAGGGCACCATCCATCGTACAAGGTCGAGGTGACATGGCAAGGCGGCGGGGTCCTGATGTGCAAGCGCAGCAGAAATGACGGTCTCACACCGTAGAGAGCAGATCCTCGGAATCGACATGTTCTTGCTGTTCGTCTGGAGCTTAATACATGTACCCCACGTTTTTCCACCCCTGCAAGAAACCCATGAATCACGAACCACAAGTCTCCAGGTGTCGGCGTGCCCAGGGCCGCCTTCGGTCAGGAACAAAACGACGCTGAGAAAACAAAGAAGGGCTGCAGATTCCCGTGCCCACACGCCTATGCGTCGACATGGTTATGGCTACACGGCGCCATTGAATTTCCGATGAGAGGAGAAGGCGTAGAGGAATGAGGAAAAGCAGCGAGCTGGCTGCGCCAAGCCACCGAGAACAACCCAACCTACCGACGAAGTAGGAGTGCCTGCGGCAACTTGCCCGTTTGGCCGAACGTTGCCGAAGCGGGAGGGCTGGATCGTGACTGCCACAGGCCAGGAAGGCAACACCGCCTCGCTCGACGGCCTCGAACCCCCCATGCAGAACACGCATCCTTCACGTACCTGCACGAGGAAATTGGCGTGGTACTTTAAGCAGCGTCATGTGGCGGGTTTCAGGAAACCCCGAACCCCAACATGACCCCATTCCTTGGGGGCGCACTTTTCTACTTCCGCCACCCTCCGCCGCCCTTCCGCCTGCTTCCGCTGGCGTATGCGGCCTTGTTTTACTTTCGCCGACATTCCGCCGATGAAGAGATGACAACTCCTTGGATCCTCGAAGGCAAGGCCATGTTTGGAACGCCTCACGCATCCTTCACATCTTTGCACGAGGAAATTGATGTGGTACTTTAAGCAGCGTCACGTGATATCATCCAAGCCATGCGCCAAGACCGATCTCCAGCATCTTTCCCAAACACGCCCAACACTGCGCAACGCTTGATCGATGCAGGCCCAAGTATCATTGATACTGATCTGATTCATTGGCATGACTAGCTTAACCTGTGCTTAATGGCGCCCTACAGCAAAGACCACGACTTGACCAGCTCAACATCCCGAGAGTGCCCCAGTAATGCGACCAATCGCTGGCCGAAGAAGAGCAGTCGTCGAGAGGGTCCAAAGAATCCTCTTCAAGATGTGCCGTGCAATCAACGCCCAGTCCAGATGTGATGACAATTCCATACTGGTCAGCGCCAACGATTAAGTCCAAGTTGCCAACGCAAATTGCACTTCGGACCCGTCCCATAAGTTCAAATTGAGGAACTAGGGGGCACGTGCTCACACACGCGGTGGCCATCACGATGGCAGCCAGCGCAATTGCCAGCTTGGAATCTAGGCCGTGGCAAACCGCTGTGGACCTCTTGACCAGTAATCGTGCTTGTATCGGAACCATTGCCACACATCAACTCGTCAAAACCTAAGACGAGACCAAACGCCACCGCATTCAGCAAAATATCGCCGAATGGTAACGGTTCCACACGTGAGTAGGGCGACGCAGATTCTGGCCCTCAGGACGAGCATGGCGGAAACCAGATGCCTTCGCATACTTGAGATGGCTTCGAACTTCTAGCTACATGTTCTGTAAACGGCAGTCCTTCCCCACGGAAGCAGCCTGATTGACCCGTCCATGTCAAAGACGCCGAGCGCTTCCCATATCGTTTTTGCCCACCAAATATGAAGAGAAATGAAACACATAAGTCTGCCCAACGGTGCACCCCTCGTCTTTAAATCTCGTAAGGTGTCCCGCGAGGCCCGTAACGGTTCCCCCACCCAAACATTCAGAACATCGACGCCGTCCCAACCCCCCCACGTCGTGCTTTTTCACAACGTGGAGCCCAGGAGGTCTCGACCCGCTCCCTGGGACCGGCTTCCTTACGAGGATGACAACTGCTAGAAACCCAGCGGCGCGACTCTTGTCATGATGCGAGGAGGTTGAGCTTCTGGGGGGGGTCAGAGAGTGACCCCTGGACATGTCCAGCTGTTGGCTCTGGTGAGCACTTCGACAGGAATCCAGTCGTGGCGACGAGAAGGCTGCTGGAGGCTTCGAACAGGAAGATGACCACGCCCAAACCTCGACACTCGAACCCGCCGAACGGGCCTTGAGGGCCACGGCTCCAGCGCGGGGGCGCGGAGAGGCGGACGAGGACGGGGAGGACGGCGGGGACGGCGACAGCGACAACGACGACGACGACGACGACGAGGACGACGACGACGGCGGCGGCGACGACGACGACGACCGACAAAAAGTCGCCGCCGCCGTCGCCGTTCGGCTGGGGCCTCCCGCGAGCCCGCCAGGTAGCGCCCCTGGGAGCGCGCGCCCCATGACGAAGCCGCTGCGGAAGGCGGCCAGCGGCCTCCGCGCGCGCCAGCGCCGAGCAGCCATCGTCGTCGTCGTCGTCGTCGTCGTCGTCGTCGTCGTGGTCGTCGTCGTCGCTGCCGTCGTCGTCGTCGTCGTCGACGCCATCGCCGTGGCGTCGCCGTCGCCGTCGCCGTCGCCGTCGCCGTCGCCGTCGCCGTCGCCGTCGCCGTCGTCGTCGTCGTCGTCGTCGTCGTCGTCGTCGTCGTCGTCGTCGTCGTGGTCGTCGTCGTCGTCGCTGTCGTCGTCGTCGTCGTCGTCGACGCTCGCCAGCGTCGTCGTGGTCGTCGTGCTCCTTGTCCCTGTCATCTTCGTCGTCGTCGTCGTCGTCGTCGTCGTCGTCGTCATCGTCGTCGTCGTCGGGGATCTCGATCTTTGGGATCGAAGCTTGTGGGCGATTCGTGCTTTCTTTCTGGGGCCTCCATGGCCCCAGCGTCGCCGCGGCTGGATCCGCCTCGGAAGCTCTGGCGACAAGGCGCCCAATTGCAGGTCTGGGGCTTTGAGGATGTTTCTCTGCCGCAACATCACATGCTGTGATGCTGTCCCTCTGAGCTCGCGCGCGTACCGTTCGTATCACGAGCCAAGCGAAAAGATATCGCGCGAGAAGGCGCCCACGGGCAGGCCTGGTCGTCGGCTTTGAGGAAGGGGGCCTGGGCTTCCAGCGCCGCGAGAAACAACGTGACGAAGGCTTTCCGTCATTTTCGGCGTCCGCGCCCCAGGCGATTTCTGAGCCCAAGACTGGGGTCGACTGCAAGCAGAAACTCGAGTGCAAAGCCAATCCCGGCGATGTGGTCGAGGGTCCGGGCGTCATGCCACGCGACACTGATGACGTCGGACGTTTGGGTCCCTATCTCCCTCCCACTTCCTCTCGCTCTCTTTCTCTCTATCTCTGTCTCTCTCTCTCTCTGTCTGGACGAGCAGACATCGAGGTATGTATTTGCACACGAGCCTGAACAGGTGTTGCGTATCCACAAGTGGTGTTCTGACCAGTCGTGCACGCCAACTTGTGCATATGAGCGTGTGCTCTTACACAACCATATGGGCGATTTCGTAAACCCTGAACACAAAAGTGTTTTCATCTCTTGGGGGTAGATGCTTTACTTCTGCCGCCTTCCGCCGAGCTTCCGCCGGCGCAGGCGGTCTCGTTTTACTTCCGCCGCCTTCCGCCGAGGAAGAGATGACAACTCCTTCGATCCTTGAAGGCAAAGCCTTTTCTTGAACGCCATATATATATATATATGTATGTATACATATATATATATATATATATATATATATATATATATAAATAGATACATGTGTCTATGTATACGTGCACGTGCACCGTCGTATACGCGTGCGCGCGGGCATAACTCCTCGACGTCGGCGCTTCTGCAGGGGGGCGAGAGCGGTGAGCACGGGGGCATGGAGCCTCTCCTGGGCCCCAGGCCGGGCCCAAGTCGACACGCCCCCCCCCCCCCCCCCCCTACATTGCTGACCGCGGCGCCTCCAGCGCGACCCGCGCCCACAACTATCGACGTGCATGCACCAGAGGAACCGCGCCGGGAGCCATTCACCGCGAAGGCACCTCATCTCTGGGAGGGGCAACTGTTGCTCACGCTGGCGCTCCACTGGCCTCCGCCAGCGGAGCTGCCCTCGTCTCGCGCCCGCCAGCTCCCCGGCCTTCCGCCGAGAAAGAGAGGGCAATCATTCTACCCGTCGAAGACGAGGTCAGTTGTCAGCGGCCTAGAAGAGCACGGACGTGTCAATGCAGGTGCATACAGCACGCATATACGAATACGCGAAAGCGTGTTTAGATCTGTGCACGCAGGCTACAAATGTGAAAATACCGATGTTCACACGCATGCAATTTTACTGTCAGGACTGCATACCAGGCGTACATGCACGTTCTATGTGTTCGCACTGGAGGGGTCGGGAGCAGGGGGGGTGCATGCCACATACCCCCCGGGCGCGGAGGTACGCTTGCAAGAGGTGTGCGCGTCGCCTCTGTGGGATCACCACTCGGGGTGGTCCGATGTCCCGCTGTTGGGGGGACGCGGTGTCCGAGCCACCAGCAGGTGGTGGTGGTGGTGGTGGGACCCTTGCAGTCGCGAGCTCCGCTGCAGAAGGACCAAGATCACCTCTGGACGAGGTCGGGCAGGTCGGAAGTACTGCTGCCAGTGAGGACGCCGTGGTGTTTGCACCAGGAGGCGCGTAGGTGAGGTCCTCCTCCTCCTGCTCGTTCTCCTCCTCCTCCTCCTTCCTCCGAGGCTCAAGCCACGAATGACGAGCGGCTGCCCTGGTAGGGCAGCGGGGAGCTAGCTGCAAACGGCACTCACGGAGAACCCTGGCCGACCGCTCAGGTTAGCCGACAATCGCCCTATTTGAACGCTGCCATCCTTTCAGTGGTAAGAGAGCGATAAATAGTTTGCTGCTCTTCACCGCTCCCCTTCCTCTTCCTCCTCCTCCATCTCTATCACCACGTCCAGCTCCATCTCCGAAGCTCCAGCTCCAACTCAAATCTCCACTGCTGCTGCTGCTGCTGCTCTTTACGGGGTGTGTCGACCGCGGGTTAGGCGTCGCCGCTGGCTCGCATTGGGGGGCTACCCCGAGCTTTGTCCCCGCTGCGAGCGGAAAGCGGCGCGCCGCTAAACCGATGCCGCCTCTCGCAAGACGAGTGTGCGTGGATAAATACACCCACAGTCTGTCCGTGTAGCGGTTTGGGATCTTTAAGGCGAGTGTGTGGTGTCAACTCGGGAGCCACATTCTGAATTCCATTCGCCTTTCATCCATGTGCCTCTTGGCATTTCCAAAATTGAGAATGACCCAAAAACAAAACAGTCACTGGCAAAGCGTCTGGCCCGCCCCAACAACACGTCCAGTGCTGGATGAGGAACGTGCACGTAATATTGATGGATGAGGCTGTAGGATAGATGGTGAGCATGGATGCAGATGATGTGGAAGAGGATGATGATGAGGAAAGAATATGGAATATGGAAGAGGAGGATGATGAGGAAGAGGGTGATGATGAGGAAGATCATGAGTGGAGATGATGATGTGGACGCCCATGCTGATGAGGAAGAGGATGACGATGATGAAAAAAGAACATGGAACATGGAGGAGGAGGACACCTCGCGGCCGGGCTCCTCTTTCTCGACGCGGCCTGCCCCGGTCGCCCAGCCACGGCGCGAAGGCCGGACGAGGATCAGTCGAAGAGGGTGAACCCGTCGCTTCCCTGCGGGAGGGGCGGCCGAGCAGCACGGAGAGACGAGCGAGGCACGCAGGCGGGAAGGAAGGAAGCGGATCGATGTTCGGTTGTCGAGGGTCGACATATTCTTCACCACATGCTCAGTTGGGGTTCTTGTTTTCTCTGCACCATCATCATCATCATCACCATCATCATCATCGTCATTCTCATCACTACAATAATCATCACCATCATCATCATCGCCATCATCATCGCCTTCGTCATCGTCATTGTCATCGTCACCACCACCACAATCATCAACATCACCATCATCATCATCATCATCACCATCAGCATCAACATAACCATCACCACCACCACCACCATCAGCATAGCCATCACCATGACCATGGCTATCGTTATCGTCATCATAATCATCATCGCAATCACCATCAGCGTCACCATCACTATCAATATGAACATTATCATCACCATCGTCATCATCATAATCATCACCACCATGATCGTCAACCTCATGATCATCACTACCTTACTCACCAGCATTACGACCACCCGCATCACCATCACCACCACCATCATCATCAGCACCAACAGCAGTAGCAACAGCAGCAACAACATCATCAGCATCATCACCATCATCAACAGCATCATCATCATCATCACCATCATCATCATCACCACCATCACCATCATCATCACCATCATTGTCATTACCGTCCTTGCCGTCTCGTCCTCTCGTCATTTGCGCTCATCGTCATCTTTGGGATCCTCAGGCCTGGCTCTGGAGGAAGCCTCGAGCGGGAGCTTCGTCGGTGGGCGAATCGCGAGGACGTCTCGAGCGGGAGCCCTCTCCCTGTGGGGTCCCCGTTTCCATGTTCGAATCCGAGCGGGTCATCCAGATCCTGCAGCTGTCGTCACGTTTGGGCTCCTAAGGCTTTAATTTGGAGAAAGTTTCGAGCGGGAGCTTCGTCTGTGGGCGAATCGCGAGGAAGTCTCGAGCGGGAGCCCCTCCCTGTGGGGTTCCCGTTTCCATGTTCGAATCCGCGCGGGTCATCCAGATCCTGCAGCTGTCGTCACGTTTGGGCTCCTCAGGCCTGACTCTGGAGGAAGTCTCGAGCGGGAGCTTCGTCTGTGGGTGTATCGCGAGGAAGTCTCGAGAGGGAGCCCCCTTCCTATCGAGCGTATCCAAATCCTGTAACTGTGGCCACTTTTGGACTCCGACGTCTTTAATTTGGAGGAAGTTTCGAGCGGGAGCTTCGTCTGTGAGGGAATCGCGAGGAAGTCTCTAGCGGGAACCCCTCTCGTTATTGAGTCCCCACCTCTATGTTCGAATCCGAACGTGTCATCCAAATCCTGTAATTGTCGTCACTTTCGGGCTCCCGGGGAGTCGGGGGAGGAGGGGGAGGGCCTGCGCCAAGGCGGCAGAGATAAGGATGATGAAGAGACAGTGCAAACACATTCTCAATGACAAGGACGACGATTATATGCACTCCCAGATTATTTTTGACAGACGCTCACGTGGGGTCCTACCGTCGCAATGCTTTTGTTTGTTTGGGCATCTGGACGGATTCTCGTCGCCATGACTGGATCCGCATCGAACTTCTGGCCAGGACGCACGCCTGGACAGGTCCAGGGAGCGAGTCTTGGAGGAAGAGGAAGAGGCGGATGAGGGGGAGCAGGAGGAAAATGAAGAGGACGGGGGGGAGGACTTGCGGAGGATGGGGAGCAAGAGGAGCACGAGAAGGGATGGGGACGATACAAAAGGGAGAGGAAGAGGAGG